CAGATCAGCGAATGACGATGCTGAAACATCTGTTTAGACCAAAAAACGCGGTCTGAGTTGACATTAAGCAATGCAGGCATGACGTTTTGCATTGCTTAAAGGGACAATGAAGGCAATTTCGGATATTTTTTTGACGATTGAACTGGGTTCCCGGCACGCCTCGGGCCACGATGCCCAAATTTCAGCCGAAAACGGCGCTTGTGTGCCGCGCAAATCAATTAAACAGTCGCGGTAATAATCGTACCGGGATCGATCGAGGCGACGCCCCGAGCGTTGCGGGAGAAACCAGCAGAAGCGGAGGTCACGTGACCCTGCGGGGCCTGGAAGCGTGACGTCACAAGAGACGTGTCAGCGATTGGTCGAAACGAGAAACGTGCCGTCGGTCACGCTTTGGTTCGTGGTTTTTATGAACACTGTTCTAATTCCACTTGAATAACCATCAAAACTATAAATCGAACCGAAAATGATAACTAAACTGTAAACGAAACACCATATTTATTTTTCCCTTTGCTACACTGCACGCGAAACGGGCAACGAGCAACTGTGGGCAAACAAAATATATAAAATAAAGAACACAGCGCAGAGCACGCGGGAGTGTTTTGGTTCTGGTTTCAGATGTCGGTGCCGTGTTTACTTTAGGAACCGTGACGACACTGGAGGGATTCTGCAAAGCGGTAGTCATGCTAAATTTATGCGCAGTTGAAGAATGTTCAAACGGTCGACTGAAGACCCGTGATTGTTCGGGGGACGCTAGTTTTCACCTACTCCCAAGCGATGAAGCATTGCGAACTCTCGGGTTGAACAGCGTTGTCTTGCGCAGAGGTCTCGGCGATGACGTCAGAATTTGTTCGCTACGTTTTCGGTCAGGAGACTTTGAACAGAACCTTCAGGTTAGCCGGAGTCTGGGCGTAGGTCTAAGGCGAATCACTGTGGGTCGGCGGCAATTCTGGGGCGTCCTCGTAAAGAGGCATTCCAGAGTTCCGTGTCCTTAGGAGCATCTCCCGTTCTGTTGGTGTCAGGTAACTGAACGGGAGCCCGAATTCGCTCGCGAGAGCGGCATTGCCGTCCATGTTGGTTCGACGAAACGACCGCGACACCGCGCTGCTATAACCCACCGCGGTAACCAGAGTCTCGACGCCCTAAATGCTGCCGGTACCGACAATTCATATGTGACGTCACTCCCAACGTCACCTCCGTTTTCGGAGGCCCAAAAACGAGAAACGCAAATAGTTCAGTTTCGGTTTCTTCAGTTCTTTCGTAGGTACAGAAATACGCGTCACAAATGTCTATAAAAAATTGGGCAGTATTCCAGGTTCCCAAGAAGCCTAAAAACACCATTAAAAAAAAAAAATTAAAATCGCCTTCAGTTGTCACAACCCAGACTGCGTTTTTTAGTCTGGACATATATTTCGGCATCGTCATTCGTTGAGCTGCCTCCGTAAGTTGCGCTGCTTGGCTTTCCGAGTGTTGTGCGGGAAAGCAGACGTACGGGCATTCTTTAGAGTGTATGCCGTAGGCCTAAAAGCCGCTACGGATTTAGCCTGCAGCCGCGTGGGCGTGGCCGCGTTGGCACTGCACCAGCTCCCACGCCCGGAGCCGCGAGGTCGCTCTTCTGGAAACTTTTAATCCATTCGCGTTATTGTGTGTTGTCGGTTAGAGCTTTCCTGGATATAGGGCGTGTACGAGAGCAGCCGCTAGCCCTGCACGGGAAGTTTATTCCTCCTGCCTTGTTACCAGTGGCGTACCAACTTGTTTTTGAGTGGGGGTGCAAACCAGACCCCCCCCCCCAGTAGGTACGCCCCTGCTTGTCACCTATCGTGACATTATCGTAGCCTCGATCCCCCGTCCCCAATGGAGATTGTAGACGTTTTCTGTTTACTGTCCTTCTCAGTCTCGTGGGTTCCGTATCTGGTATGCGGGACGAAAAATAATAAAGCATTTCAACGTGGAATGTGCCAGAAAATATTGGCGAGGCAAAGGAATAATGTGTGACAATCACGCATTCTTCCTAAAAGACTTCCAGCGGCATGGAGAGATCAAAACGACGTTTGACCGCATACCAGATGTGACGATATTCAAGATGACCACGCCCTTGTAAAGAGGATGTATGCTTCATTTTATCACCAGTCCGAGCGCAGTCAAAGGATCTAACATATACAAACACCGTGTTTTTAAAAGCGGAAGTCACCGGGAATTGGCTGTTCTTGGTTGGGTTGGCGAATAATGGAACAGGTCGAGAACGACGACCAACGTCATGGCGTTGAGTGTTTGACGCCGTTTAACTGGTGCCATGTGTACGTAGAGCCTGGTGCGGAGTATAGAGGGTAGGAACTATGAATAGAATAGACCTTTTGCGAAATCCCCCAAGCGCCCCGGCCCGCACGCGAGGAATTGTGGGAGAGACTGTCCTTCCCCTGACCGCTCTGCCTTGAGACCACATTGCCTAGTTGCTTGTCTCATCTTAATCCTCTGTTTTTCGATTCTATTACCTATTTTTATCTAATCCATTGTATTTTTTATTGTTTTAAGTGTTTCCACTCTCTTCGGCGCGCGATAATGCTAGTATATATATAGTATTTGTGTCTTTATTTAGCCTTTTTCGGCGCGAGTGCCGACGAACAACACGCCGCTTCGCGTGTCGTTCCCCAGGTGAGTACTGCCGTTGCCACCAATTCCAATCGCGCTGTTAGCTGTTCATTTTTGGTTCATTTCACCCGCGTGCAGTAGAGAACAGCCGTTTATGAACACCCGCGCACATGTCATAAGGGTAGACAGAGCTCAGAATCAACAATCGCGACGCAAGAGCCGAGTGCACTGTGATTTGGCCTCCCGCGCTCGCTCCGTTGACTCGCACTGCAGCGTGTGCCTTCGAGTTCCGCTTACTTAACCAAGGCACGCCGCTTTGTCGCCACGAACCATTTGTCCGAATGTTGGCGAAGCTGAGGCATATGCAACGCTGCAGCGCCTGACAACTGCGCTCTGCGGTGCGATCCCTTCGCAAACGCCGACGCCTCAATGTCGCACCTTGAATGCGTCCATGGCATGCCTTCGTAATCTATATTCTAAGCTGCTGTCAGTTGTCAACGCCCTTTTTCAAGTGCAGAGATGTGTTTCCGCGAATATTTTTTCCGAATGCCTGCGAAGCCGTAACACCGTTCGTCATATCCAACGCTGCGGTGCCTGACAAACTGCACGCAGCGGCGCGAGCCCTCCTTAAACGCCCGTGGCACAACGTCGCGGCTTGTATGCGCTTATGATATATATGCGCTTTTATTCTTTCTACTAAGCGGTTGTAAGTTGCAAACACCCTTTTTCAAGTGCAGAAATGTGCTGTCACCCAGACAGTTATCTAAAACTCGCAGTGCCTTCGATAATTTTATTTTTCTAGCCAAGATGTCAGCTAAAGGTATTTTATTTCGTTAGGTAACCTTCAGCAGCAACATGCCCGGTGGTACAGTTTGCTGTGTACCATGCTGTGCAAAGAATACTGCCAGCGCAGAGAATGTTTTCTGGCCCGGCTTTCCAAAAGACAGCGTCCTGCGAATCGTTTGGGTGAAGACAACTGCGTGCTGTTGTCAGGCGCCGCAACGTTGGATAGGCCGAACGGTGTTACGGCTTCGCAGGCATTCGGACAAATGATTAAAGGCAACACATCTCTGCGCTTGGAAAAGGGCGTTGGCAGCTGACAATAGCTTAGCAGATAGTTTACGAAGGCATGCCATTGGCGCATTCAAGCCGCGACATTGAGCCGTCGGCGTTTGCGAAGGGATCGCGCCGCAGCGCGCAGTTGTCAGGCGCCGCAGCGTTGCATGTGCCTCAGCTTCGCAAACATTCGGACAAATGGTTCACGGCGACAAAGGGGCGTGCTGTATCTTGGTCAAGTTAAAGTCACTGGAAGTGACTTTAGGTCAAGTAAGCGGAACTCGAAGGCATACTCTGCAGTGCGAGTCAACGGAGCGAGGGCGCGCGGCGAAATCACAGTGCACTCGGGTCTCGCGTCACGATTGTTGATTCTGAACTCCGCTGACCCCTATAACATGTGCGCGGGTGTTCATAAACGGCTCCTCTCGACTGCAAGCGGTTCAAATGAACCAAAATGAACAGCTAACAGAGCGATAGGAATCGGTAGCAACGGTAGTACTCACCCGGGGAACGACGCGCGGAGCGGTGTGTTGTCCGTCGGCACTCCCGTCGAAAAAGGCAAAATAAGGACACGAATACTATATATATACAAGAAATATCGCGCTCAGAAGAGAAGAGGAAAACTTAGAAGTAATAAAAAATACACTGGAATAGATAAAAATGGGTAATACAATCAAAAACAGAGGAATAAGAGGAGACAAGCGACAAGGCAATGTTATCTCAAGGCAGAGCGGCCAGGCAAGGGACAATTTCTCCCACAATTCTGCGCGTGCGGGCCTGGAAGGACCGCATAATTACATTACAGTATGCAAAGAGTCAAAACAGATTGTTACTGGACGACGGCGTGAAAAACTACGATATATAGATCTAGCTGTTTAGTTGACATGTCAACATCTGTAATTTCCGAACTCAATATCTCAATAATCGGGCCCCATGTCCAGACATGTATAGTTGACTACGGCGAGAGACGATGAAGGCGCTAGGCTATGAATACTGAATCATTTAATATAGCCGTAAGAGACACCTTTACGGTATTTTATTAGTTTATGAGGCCGTCGAGTCTTGGTGCCACATCAATATCGAGAGGCTTTGACCCACACCAGGCACGGGCGCAGCGCTCGTGCAGAAACCAGATTCGCGTTTAGTGAGGAGTCTCTACGTGCGCCATGCCGACGGCAGTACCACGACATCGGCGTGATGCCAGATCCCTAACGGAGAAAACTATGTACAGAGATATTTATAAAATAAGGCAAGCGAACACCTGCGCCGGGAAAGAGGAGCGGGAAGGGGAGGGGTGGAGGAGGAGAACTGCGCACAGTGCTCCGGACCTGACGCGCTAGAGTTGGGCCAGACCTCTATCGAGACCGACTCCGCAGTCAGCGTGTCAAGGCAAATGACGCACTCTGTCGAGCTCGCGGTCTTCGCGTTCTTCACCGTCACCGTTATTGGCATAGGCCTAGGGCTTGCCTTCAAGAGGATAGGCCGTCTGACCATCGAAGAAATGTTCCTCGGCAGCAGGACATTACGAATGGTTCCGTTGGCCCTGTCCTCCCTGGCCTCCGTCATGTCGTCAACGGGAATCATCGCGTTCACTGCCCACTACTACGCTTACGGCCTTCACTTGGGATGGACGGCGTCACTGGCGACCTTACTACTGATCCCCTTCACGATTCATGTCGATGTACCCGTACTTTACAGACTGAAGATCACGTCCGTATTTGAGGTGAGCCTTTCCTAAAATCTTATATATATATATATATATATATATATAGAGAGAGAGAGAGAGAGAGAGAGCTATTGTCTCTGATAAGGTGAGAACGGCAGTAAAGGAGCTTCAGTTGTACAGCCTGCAGCGCGAGCTTCCTACCTTCGGCAATGCTTCCACGTATCGTGCGCCTAAGCACTTGCGCTCGCAGTCAAAGCGCGGCGGAGGGCGTGGAGCGTGTGCTGGAAGCCGGGCCTTCGAAAGAAACGCCCTGCCGTTTTTATTCAGTCAGTGACTATAGCGGAACGCGGAGTCTGAATTCACGCGATGTATAATGAGTCTAACTTCGTGTTTTTTTTGTTTTTTTTTAATTTGCGGCGTTTAAATTTAAGTTTAGCGGAACAAAAACGCGGTGCTCTGAAAACTCATATTTTTGATAATAAAGTTAAGCCTTTGAAAAGCAGACGAAACTTTCTCGAGCATCTATGCACGTGCTGCCCGATCCTTTGCCCTCTCAAGGAGAAAAAAAAAATTGCATTGACGCCATAGATTATCGATTATTATACTGATTGCTTTGAGTATTTGCAATTGTATTGCTTATAAAAGCTGCACACTGCCCGCATATTACGGAAATGAATCGCTTGTGAAATGATCATGAGCGAGAAATTAAGTTAAAAATTTAATGCATACGTTAATGTTATACCTCGGGGTTATCTTGATCGCTAAATAGGGCTGGGCGTCGATTAAAAAGCTTAATCGGATTAATCACCTCCCATTAATACATTAATTAATCGATTAATCGGATTCATCCATTTCCATGCTAAATATGTTTTAATGTAAATTTTAATTTATTTGTTGCCTTTGCTGAATATGGCATAAACATCCGAATATGGTCATCCTATGTTGTATCAACGTTAAATGAACTGCAGGTACGAGAAAAAAAATTGTGAAACAGCCTGGATAGGAAGGAGTGTCACTACAAATTTACAATGAAAAAAAAAAATTAGTGCTACTTTACGGCGCGAAACGAATTTGTAGCTAACGCCCGCGGGAGCCCGCGGAAAAGTGGCAACTAGCAGTCATGCGACTGACCATTATAGTCACGCTCTTTCGGGAGCCTCTCATAGGCTCTAAAATTTACTTATTAATCTTCGTTTTTAATCTTCGTTTTTTTTTCTCTTCTTTTTTTTTAAATTAAAATAATTTGATGTGTGAGAAACAGCAAGTACAAGAAAGTCGCCTCCTCCGGTTTTGACTGGTACGACTGGAGCGGAAGCTGCGAGCCACCGCCCACACTGTCTGCAGGCGCATCAGTGGCCTCGGAGCTTTCCGCGGAGAGGTTCGCAGGCCTTCGAGGCGTGTCTTTGTAGGGACCACGTGGTAGGGACGAAGCCCTACCTGCTTGATGCGGTCGAGAAGTCTAGGCTTCAACTCCAGATCCATCGCAAAAGACGCAGACTATCACTGCTACCACCACCAGCACAGAAACCCCAAGAACACAGCATGCACCCAATTTGAGCGGAAGTCGCAGGAGGCTTGGCTTGGCGGTTCAGCTGAACAGCCAAGCCAATCCAAGCGGCTTAGCTCTCCTCCCCGCTACGGCACAGACGCGAGTGAAAAAAGTGGAAAGGGCGACCGTTACACCTCGCTTGACAAAAAATAAACTCGAGCCGAAAATATAATTTAAAAAAAATGTTTTTTCGTGCATATTTGTTTTATAACACCCCTTTTCTTTACTTCCTCAAATTTTTACCGACTAACCGGTTAAACACTCAATTCCGATAAACCATTAATCGATTATGAGTAGCTTAATCGAACAATTGCCCAGCCCTACTAAATATGTACCGTTAATTTCAGTCCTGTAATATACAGTCTATCAGGTAAATATTCGGGGGACAAACGCCGATGCACTTTGCTGTCACGTTTTTCTTAAAATAAATCTGACGCTTCTGTTACCAAAACTCGCACGAAAAAAGGAAGAAAGTATGGTGGAGGTTTGCCTTATATTTTTAATTAATGCGAGAAATGAGTTAGAAAATTCTTAATTAGTACCTTAAAAGTCAATATCTCTGAGAGCACAATCAGTAAATGGCAACTATATCACCGCATTAAACTTACTTCGTAACTGAAACGAAAGAAACGGGCGCATATATGTGTGTGTATTTCATTTTTACAAAAAGGCAAGACGAGAGGCGGGTTGAGATCTGTCCCTCTTTTATCTTTTTCAATGTGTTTGTTTTTTCGTTCAACCATACTTGTTTGGAAGGAAAAATAACCCAGTTGTTTGTCCACCATTCGTGTGTGAGTGTTGTGCTTCTTCGTCCAAGATTATAAACTTTAAAAACGCAGAACAAAAGAAAATGACTAACCAGCTAGGTCAAACCCAAGCTTTATTTATGTTTCTGCAAGAGAATTAGTAATTTCGTGCATTTATCACCAAATGCTTTGGCAAACGGGACGGATTAGGTTCCGATCGCGGTCTCAAGGGCCGAAAAGAAAAAAAGAATACCACAATAAAAACGAGAAAGTACTTAATAAATAACCCTGAATAAGTATTGAAAACGGAAGCTTGGGCGTGTTGGTAAAGCATGATGATTAAAACGTACAGCGTAAACAAACGGGACAGGAGAGGGAGGACACACAATCGCTGAACTTATACAAGTAAAGTTTAATCTACAAGGCGCAACCCTTGCTACAACCAAACAAGAAACAGCGCACACGCACCCAATGACACGCACCAGGGGCCCTAATCTGGACACTTGGCGAAAACGTCGGCGAGAAATCCAGAGGCTCTGATTGGCCGGCGCCAAGGTCAAGTGCGGCGTCGGCCAATCACGGCCGTCAGATTTCTCACCGACCTTTTCGCCAAGTGTCCATGGGGCCACCATCATCGCGAATGCTGTCGTCGTCCAAGGAACAGCACTTTATCAGATAGCGAAACAGACGGGGCGCGTACACAATCTTCATTGTCGTGACTGTGTGTGATGCAGATTTCAAAAAGTGTTCAGTCATTGGATGAAGCGGCAAGGCCATGACAAGAGAAATTATCGAATCGGAGATCATTCAGCGCCTAAAGGAAGATTGTATAAGCGTCCCGTCTGTTTCGCTATCTGATAAAGAGCTCTTCCTTGCACGACGACAGCATTCACGATGATGGTGCTGGTGTCTAGTGTGTGTCACTGGATGCGTGTTTGCTTTTTTCTTTTTTGGTGGTCGTATATACACCAACTCATGTTTACAAACGAACCGGAGCGCCCCTAGCGGACGCCATCGGTGCCGCGCATGCGCGATGGGGGTGTGGGGCAAGAAGCTCGCCGTCGCCCATAAACAAACCATTGAAATGCGATGTTGTCGGCGTCGGTGTGAGTCCCCCTGCCCTTTTTCGCGTTCGAATTGTTCATTCTACGTCTTCCTGGTAATGTCTGACTATCTTGAGCGGCGTTAGCGGAATTACCGAGGCTCATTACACTGCAAAACTTCGCGTGAATACGGTGACATATGGCGATTCATTCCGCGTAGACGCCGCAGTATGTATACACTAAAGTGTGATTCGCATGATGAGAGTTCGCTCGCAATTTTTAGTCGCGACTCCACTCGGGCTGCAAAAGCGTGAACCGTAGCTGAGATGGTCGACGCCGATACTGAAAATCGCAAGCAGAATCGGACCAAGTGAATTAGGCGTAACAAGTCGGTGATGGTCACTGGTAACATCGATCAAGATCTCCTTGTATCTACTGTTTACATCGAGCCTGCTTACCAACCTTTGAACTTAAGTCTTTTGAGGCCTGCACTTACGTTTCATCTTAAGTTCCGGGCCAAAATTTGGTCTACGGGCCTGCGTCGTCTAAGAGAGCAGACGACAAGCAGAAACGTTTGAAAGAGCAGACGACAGTTCGAACGATCAGGCGGCCGTTTGAACTTGAAGACGCACTGAACGTAGTCCGCAGGTGGTCCGCACAACTTGACGGTTTTCTGGCGTTCATGTTGAAACAAAACAAATAAATCTGGTGACCACACGTATCCGTGAATTCAACCCAAAGTGCTTCCCGCCCAAGCAGTCGTTGTCCGACGGCGTCTGCTTTTCCCTCTTCACGGCACATATCTATATTCTCGGACGAACCGAGCACGTGAAAACTGACCTTCAAACCTTTCTCGAGACTTTTGGTATGGCCCCAGTCGCGGCGTTTTGACGAGAAGGCAGGTTTTTGTCTGGTTTCTTTCAAAACAACACAGGAATACACGTCTGGCATGGGGATTTCTGCCCACAGCCCCAGACCGGAAGTGCGACCGACGCGCCACCACCGCGCCGTGACGTCACAGAGCTAAGTTCGTGTATAGGGTTGTGCCTTGACGATTAAACTTGAGTTGTATAACTTCAGCGATTGTGTGTCCTCTATCTTCTGTCCCGTCTTTCTACGTTGTACGTTTTAATCACCTCAATAAGTTTTTAAATGCAAAAAATATTAAAAATAATGCAAATCTTCAAAAAAAAAAATGTACACTAATGCGGTTTGTTTTCACTAATGCGGCTACAGAACCTGTAAAACCTGGACTAATGTGCTTTGTGCAGGTGAGTTATACGGCCAAGGGGGCGTTATAGGGGGGGGGGGGGGGGGGTAATCCTCACAATAATTCAAATGATTAACTAAACGTTTATAATATTTTTAAGAGCACCTTAAGCACCACATTCCCACAAAAACATATTTTTTTTAGTCGACTGAAAAATAAATTCGGCGTTAAAGGGTTAATTTGGGAAATGTGGATGGTTCTGATTATAAACTTGCCACGCGTCAATTAAAAACACTAAACAGTCATCTTTAGAAATACTTTGAGCGAGTGGGAAGCGCAGTACTGCACTGAAGAGAGCCAAAGTTACCATTTGTGCAGCAACGGGCACAAGGCGGGGCTATGAAAACAAACGTAAAATCCGCGTGGGCGCGTTATCGCAGCCGTAGCCTTGCGATCCCACTGCAAGAGTGGTACCTAGTGGTACGCCGTGCTATAGTGCTAGAGGGAGG